GGTTTTAAAAAATGCAACAATATTAATAATAATAAATATTATTTTATCATTTATTTTATTTATTGTATTAGATAAAATAAGGTTTATTACTATTGCAATATTTCACTGCAAAAAGAGTATTTGCGAACAATATTATTATTGTTATTATTATATTTTTCTTACATTTTTATTTTATAGTGAAATATTACAAAAGTAATGATTCTTGTTTAATAATATAATCAAATACTAATGTATTATTTATTTTACAGTACAACAATACCATAACAATACTCATATTTATAAGTCTTTATTTCTTCAATTGTTAAACCATCAAGCTTTTATTTTGAACACAGTGCTGCACTATAAAACACGCAGTGCGTATACAGTATTTATTAAATGAAACCACAGCTTCTGTGATTTGGAAATTGCACTAAGCCATGCTTGACAGACATGCTTACTAGAGACTAGATGTGTCTCAAAAGAGATGTTTAAACTGATGTTCATCAGGTGGTTTAATTTACTCCTGTGAGATTGTAATTTGTTGGAAGCGTTTCATTGTGGGATTTTTAGCTATTTTACTGTGGTGTCCCCAATCACTGAAGTTAAATAGTGCTTCCAAGTAGTGCAAGTGTGTGACATGTTAATCGCTAGGTAAAGTTTCAAAGAGATAGTTCAAGTCTGAAAGATCAGGTGTCAAGAAACTCGAGTCGTAGTCATGTTCCCTACAGCTCCAGCACAAAGCCTGCAGTCATCACATCTGCAGCCGCTGGCTCGTTAAACGCAAAAGTTGGAAAAGCCTTGTTCTTCAGTATACCTCCTATAATGAAGAAATGTCAAGTCTCCCTCTTTCCTTTTTAAAAAAGAGCCTTATTACAGCACCGCGATGGGACTCCCCAAGGGAATTCTGCTGGCAGAGGAGAAACCAGCAGGAAAGAAGAAATAGAGAAGAGAAATGAGGAAGTTAAGTTGTGAATGCGTTATAGTGAGATGTCAGCTGCATCGCTGTGCAGAGGCTGCCTAAGAAAAATGTATTAAATGGTGTAAAATCTGAAAGCTCTTCTGTATAGCAAACGGTTGCTTGAGTAGTTATAAATTGGACTGCACTGTTTTTCCCGAATGAATATTGTAGCTGTATGTGTGCCTCAACCAAGGTTCCTGTGCTTCTGAGAAGAAAAGAGACGAGGCTCGTCACAAAAAGTAAATTGTATTTGCGGCTCTTTTGATTATAATGGAAGATTAGGGTATTCAGATTATTATAGCAGATGACGAGTAAATGTTTAATACCCTTGCTGGAAAAACAGGTCAAGCTGGTTTTCTGGAACAGAGTAGCTGGGTTGTTTTTGTACCAACGAGGTCTAACAGACCCAACCAGCTTTACCCAGGTGGTCTACCAGCTCAAACTTAGATCAACTAGCTGATCATCCTGCTTATCAACCATGTAGACCAGTGGTGTCCAAACTCGGTCCTGGAGGGCCGGTGTCCTGCAGAGTTTAGCTCCATTTTGCCTCAACACACCTGCCTGGAAATTTCTAGTATGCCTTGTAAGAGCTTGATTATCTGGTTCAGGTGTGTCTAATTGGGGTTGGAGCTAAACTCTGCAGGACACCGGCCCTCCAGGACCGAATTTGGGCACCCCTGATGTAGACCATCTTAGACCAGTTATTGTTAACTAAAACTATTAAACATGTTTTCATTATATTGACATAAAGCTGAAATAAAATATACTAGTAATATGCATGCTAATAAGAAACGAGTTAATAGTGAGAGTTTGTCCCTGAACTAAAGTGTTACCAAATAAAATATGAGATATGAGAAATATGATTTTTTTTTCTTATATATTTTTTAAAAACAAAATGTAGAAATGTTGCCTTGGCAATTAACTGAAATAAAAAAGGTTTATGTTGAAGAGCTACAATTTCTGAAACTAAAAATACAAATAAATTAATGCTAAATTTAAAAAAGAAAATAATCAAATGATGAAAGCATGTAACAAAATTAATCAAACTTAAATTTTATTGAAAATATAAAAATAAAAGAATTCAAAATAATAAATTATATTATAATAGTGTGTAAATAATAACACAATAATGCTGTCTTAGACCAGACTGAAACCATGATAGAGCTTAAATAATTTTGTACACTGAGCATTTATTTTAATCCAGTGTGAGCTGTTCTTGTTGTAACAAAATTAGAACATTTTTATAAATTGGCAGTTTATAAGCAACTTTAATATATAAAAACACACACAGTATGTACAGCATTAGGCACTCCCAGCTGAACAAGAAAGTGAGTAAATTAGTTGAAATAATGTTTCATTTCACCGCATTCTGCTTTTAATCGCTTCATATCCTTTTTTTATGAATTTGCTTCCCTCAAAGAGCTCTCGTATTAGTAGTCATGTATAAAATTGCTTACACATGTATTCCCAGATAGGCCGAGAAGCTTGTTGAAGCCAAACGTCCCACGGGGTTTTGTATTAGATTAGTCGCAGTCTCTCCGGCACAAAGGATTTATGAAAATTCTCTCTCTTTTCCTTTGTTTCTGTCTCTCTTTTTTTCTCTCTTTTGTTCCTTAAAGTTCTGCAGAAGGATAACTAAAGACAGTGTTTCCATGATACTGCTCTCCTTGATTTTCTCCATTGTGATGCAACTGTACTGATCCATGTTGTTTTTCTTTTTGGTAATTGTGTTGCAGTTGTAAAAGAATCCAATATAATCCTCACTGCGTCTGTAAGCGAAAGTCACAAAAAGAAAGAAAAGACTCTTCCAGAGAGATTTGATTTAATTTGGCTGTGTTGCATACTCTCTCTTGCTCTGTGCCAAAACCTATAGTGAACTAGTAAGGCATCAGTGCCACGCTCCAAAAAGTAGGCAGCATAATTATAAGGGAGCTTGGCATGTAGCGTACACAGGGAAGTCAATCCCAGCATGCAATGCGCTTATGAGAATTGTTGATTATTAAAATAATTATTTTATCTGTTGCTGAAAATAGTTGACAAAAATAGTGCATTCTAAAATAATGTGTTTTTGTGTGTCACTGGCTCAGCAACAAGTTAAATCTACTGGCATTAGTTCTTAGGTTTGAATCTCCAGTGTCGAGTGCTTTTTGTGTGACATGCATGTGAAGAGAGTACAATTAGGTCACTTAAGACAAGGAAACTATATTGGGGGTCATTTGGAATCTGGGAATGCTAATGTATTCAGGTGTTACTGATTCTGAACAACAGGCTTAAAGCCAAAATGAAATTCAGGCTTCAAACAGTGTTTCATAAAAGTGAAAGGATCAAAACAAAGCAAAGCGCTGGAAAGTCACTTTAAACTGTGCAAAGCTTTAGATGGTATCAAAATGCAGAATGTATCACAATGACAGTGGATAGTCAAAGAATATGCCCTATTAATTTTATCCTCACAAGTCTCTTTCTCTCCCCTCCCTCTCAATCCCTCTCTCCCTCTCTCTCTCTCTGGTGTTTGTGGGGATCAGAAAGGATTTGGGTGGAGTGTTTCAGTGGCAGGTGGACAAAATCTTTTCACAACAAAAAGCTTTTCTTAAACCGAAAACTCAAGATTCAACTGTTAACATTCATATTGCTGGAATGTTTTTCATGAAATGCATATTTGCAAGCCTATTGTAGTATTATTTGATGTCCCAGATTTCGCCTTTCACCCCCTGTGGGTTTTATAATGCTTATCTTAATAACATAGCCATGCTTTCTCAGTGGGGAATAGCAAAACATGGGGTGATGGCTTCTTTATGTAGAATGAATGTTTAAAAAAACTGTATTGGTGTATTCAAGGGATTGTTCAACTGAAAATGAAAATTCCAAACCTGTATGCATTTCTTTCTTAAAGAACGCTGGGGTCCAAATAACATTGGACAACATTGACTTTAATTGTATGGACAAAAATCCACTAAGGCATTTAAAAAAAATATCTTCTCTTGTGTTTCACAGAAAAAAGTCAGGTTTGGAACGATGTTAGTAAATGTTGACAGAAGTGTAACAAAGAATTTTTATGTTGTTCTGATGCTTCTAAGAAATTACAGTAACCTTAAGTAATTTCACTACAAGTGGTATCGCAATTTGCTTCAGATCTAATTGGTTTTGTAATGAAGCTGTAATCCATAAGCTTCCAGAAGCTTTGTGACCTCATTGTTGGTGTGCTGTGAAGGGTGTTTGGAGGCAGTGGTTCATATAGCTGCGCTGGTGTCGGCTGGGGTCATAACGCAATAGATGAGTTGTGATGCTGGATCTCCGCATTTGCGTAGCTCTGCAGGCATTGCTGGCCCATCATAGGATTATTGTTCAATCGGGATTTGACGTTTCCTGACAGTGCTACACGATTCTGCCCTGCTGCATTAGATCTGCATTAGTTTCACTGGCCCGCCACACTGGCCCATCTCTTGGAGTCCAGCAAAGACCGCCTGCTTAATGCCAGCTGGCCCTGGCTTTTGAAAGAAGCACAGACCACCTCAACCATTGGCATCAGGTAAGGGTGTCCATGGCAGCATGTGTTCCTGTCCAAAGGGATTTCATTGTATTCATTATCATCAGGGACATATTTTGTGTGCGTTTGCATGTGACGTCACAAGGGTGAAGAGTGAATTTAAGCAGGCTTTATTTGGTCTGTAATCCCTCATAGCAATCTGAACGAGTAAAATGTTCGGAGTTGGAGCGGATCAGCTTCACTGGATTATCACAAGCCCCTGCCTCCCCCACACCAACCCTCCCCTTGTAAAAAATTTCCTTCCTGTCTCTCTGTTTTCTCTCTTATTCTTTCCCTCTGTCTGTTCATGCTTGTCGCTTAGCATTGCCAGAATGGAGTAGTCAGGCAGGCTTTGACTACCAACGTTATTTGTGAGAGTGCTTGGTGTCCTCTTTCCTGCTTCCATCACCACCAGCAGTATTCCCCAGATTAATTATTCACCGATCGCCAAGCAAGAGGAGCCATTTGAGCCAGTCCTTGCCACTGTGATAGAGACGGAAGACAGAAATTACAACTGGACCTCAGGTGAAAAGCAATACTTCTGTTTTAATTTTTTTCTTTCATCTTCCTTCCTCACACCACTTGACAACATCCTGCAACTAGAAACTTAAAGGAAAACCTTTCTCATTTTTCTTCCCTGTGAGTAAGGTATATCTCTTCCTCATGTTGATCTCCAGTAAGCAGTTGCCAATCGGCCGCTCCCAGAGCTGGGACACGCTGGGTGTGAATGAGGGTCATTGGGAGCGCAGTGACAGTGTTTACGAGCAGCAGGCCCGGATGGCTGGTCGACGCAACTCGCTGAGCTACGGAGCGGATGCGGGAGGGGGATGGTATGAGCCACCGCCTGGACTGCGTCCCCCTGACCTGGATTTGAAACAGGAGCAAGACTCCTACCAGGAATCTCTTTACAATCAGGGATATTTGGATCGTCCGGACCCCCGTAACATAAGAAAGAGCTCCGTTCCTGAGCTGAACAGCCATTACGACCGGCCACCCATGGCTCACCGTGGTTCCCTGCCACCCCACGACTACTATCAGCAAGAATCAGGCATGCCACCACGGCCATCCGAGGGTTTTTATCGTGGAGAGCAACCTCATTCTGTTAATAGGTCATCTTCACATTATGGAATGATGGCTGGTCCTCGGCAATTCTGGGAACAGAGCTCAGGAGGTCGGCCTGGTTCTGCTGCCCCAACACCTGGCATACCTCCTCCCCCACCTCCAACTGCTCATGACATGGGTCGTATTTACAGAGAACCATCCCTGCCTGGACCCCCACATGCTACTCCTGGCACCAAAATGATGCAGGATGGGCAGGGCATTCCAAGCCGTGCACCATCTCCAGCTCATTATATAATGGAGCCAAATTCTCCCCGTTATGGTGCTGAGCCACCTGCCTCTCTAAACAGCCATTCAGTCTACAGTAATGTTAACGGAAGGCCGATTGATCCTCATCAGCCAACCGCCACCTGCCTGGTAGTTGAACCAGTTGCTCAAGGAATGGATGGAACTGCCCGAGGTATGGTCATGCATCCAGAAAACCCCTCACCATTCACCATACAACAGCAACAGCAAGCCCAACAGCAGGCACAACAACAAATGCAACAGCAAATGCAGCAGGTTCAGCCAGTGCAACAAGTGCAGCAAGTTCAGCCAGTGCAACAAATGCAGCAAGTTCAGCAAATGCAGCCCATTCAGCCAGTGCAGCAAGTTCAGCAGGTACCACAGTTTCAGCCAGTGCAGCAAGTTCCACATGTGCAACCCGTGGCACCCCCAAATCCTGTCTATACTCCAGCTCCCCCTATGGCTGCTGCCCCAGTAAACACTCCAAGTGTGGCCACTATTCCTGCTCCGTTACCTCAAATTCCTGCTCAGCCTTTTACTCCTCCCACTGTTCCTCAGATCCCAGTGGCTCCTGTAGACCCTAAAAAAAATGCGGACCCTGAGTTTCTGGCATTGCTGCAAAAAGAGGGCCTCTCAGAAAGCACCATCACCTCTCTACTGCAGCAGGGCTTTGACTCCACTCCAATGCTGGCTGTTATGGAGGAAAATGATGTGCGTTCAGTGGCTCCAAACTTGGGACAAGCTCGGGTTCTGTCGCGTGTTGTGCTTGGTTGCAAGCGACCACCTGAAATCCTTCCTGCTACCCCCCTGCATCCCAATGCTCCGGTCCGCGGCAGATCCAACAGCTTTAGCCATCGCAGTGACATTTACGTGCATCAGCCGCCACCCTTTGCTCCGGGCATGGAGTCCCAGTATATGCAGCCACCCTCTACCCCCATGCAGACTATATCTCCAAGGATGGGTGAAGGTTATAGACCCAGCAGTGCTCCCTCCCAGCATCTTCTTGAGACTAGTGGGTATCCTGGAGCCAGGTCTGCAGGAGCATACAGTGGTGTTGTGGTTCCAGTCCAGCCTCGTGCTTTATCAGGCTACGATCCTCATGCTGGCTTGCCCATGCCACCTATGACTGCAATGTCCCAACAGGTAGCTATTCCATCACATCTACCAGGAATGCCACCACAAATGGCAGCTTTGCCAGCCCCAATCCATGCAATGCCACAGCCATTGCCAGCAGTTCCCCAACCAATGACTGTGCCTGCTTTGGCGCCGCAGCAGGCTCCGAAGGCATACACCACCAACTATACTGTACCAATGGAGTTGATGAAGAGGGATCGGAGCTTGGCTAAAATGTCACCCATGCCTAGTCCCCTTGTAAGCCCACTAGTAATGCGCAAGGCTGGAGTGTCCTCAGACAGAGCCCTAGTACCCGTTGGTGGTGCCTTCCCAGGCCAAAATGTGAATCTGTCTAATCAGAAGCTCAGCCGGCGTACTGGACCTCCGGTCATTGTCTCCACTATGGCATCGCCAGACACAAGTAAATGAAAGCCCTCTTCCATTGCCGCCTTCATGTTCTCCTTTTTTCCTCTCCTCCACCCCCTCCAGTGCTTCAGCTCCTAACTGTCTGTGTCTCCCCTTGAACTTCACTTTTAAGAAATGCTACACAAAGAAACCTTTGAAGAATAAACATTTGTTTGTTTTGTTGTTGAAATAGTAATGAATTGAGTTGCTAATGATGCTTCTAGATGTTTTCGTACCAAGGCTCAGCTTATTTTATTAAATAATATCAAAGCTTATGGAACTAGTTTGTTTTGTGATAGATCAAATTCAGCTTTCTTTTGTACATGAAGGCTTAGCAAAGATGAATTCATTTAGTGTGTCGTAATTCATCATCTTTTTATACCTTGTCATTGCATAATTACATACCACTAAATATTGAATTTCTGTAGTCTAGCACAAGCTCCGTTAAATAGTATGGTAAATTGTGCTAAAATGCGCAAGCTTGTTTTCATTATGTTGCCTTGTGGTTCAGTGGCCTGTTATATTATTAGTCAGTCACATTTTTGCAGTATTAGTCATTTTCAGCTTCAGGGGTGTCAGTGACTTGGATTGTGTTTTATTTTGGCTTGGTATTCTGTATTACATTGCTTTTATGTATGTTCTGTAGTAGGTGTATCTAAATGGATTTGGACTGACATGTTTTATTTTTATTTTCATGGTTTGTCTTTGCTAGTTTAAACCTCTGTCACTATCTGCCAGTCGCAGCTGATCTGTTTGACTAAGATACTGTGAGTGAAGTGCAGCTTGTCAGTTAGCGGTAGAGCCCTTTGATACATGTTTGAAGTGAATTGTCACCTTTGAGCCATACACAAGCAAGATCAGAATGATGGAATGGACCAGCACAGGGAAAGAACGACAGTTTAGTTTTTTTGCCAAGCACAAACTTCAGTAGGAAATTTCCATTGTGAGAATCAACTGAGCATGTAACCTAGTTTTTCAATTTATAGTTAAGTGACATTACTTACGTGACATTTAAGAAAACAATTTTCATTATTATAATGCAAAAAATATCCTTTTCATTATTATAATGTGAAAACATTTTTATTAGCATGAAATGTCACAATGCAAACATTGCTTTATTTTCTTTTATGCAAAATATAAATATTTTTCTTTTGATTTTGGTGTGAAATGTGACACGCCAAATGTTTTTGTGGGATTCATTCAAATGTTTTTGCAGTACTGATGTTGATGCATGTTTTGCAGATCGTGCTAAAGACTGTAAAGGGTCATATTTCTCTGTTCTTCAATCCCACCTGGTACAGCTGGTGTAAGAGACAGTTTCCAGCCCACATTGGCTGTTTCAGAACGATGACCAATGACTGCACTGAGGGGGAGGGGAGGCAGCACAGGGAGTTTTATTCTGAGCCGAAATGGAGATGCAGTGTCAGACCCCGGCAGGAAATTAAACAACACATCACCGTAGTCAGGCTAATCACATTGTGGTGATAGTAATCAGAGTGTATGGATATGATTGGAGAGCCTCTGGGGTGGGAGAGAAATGAGCGGTGATAAACGTTATTAAAGGCTGGCTGGTTCAGTGCCTGGTGAGTGAGCGGCTTCAGTAGGGTTGGGCAGTATGACCAAAATCACAGTAGGAGTTATTATATTTCATGGTAACAGCATGTATCCCAAAATAGTTATTAGTGCTTGAAATCCAAGGAAGAATGGTTTATATGTTAGATAAGTGTGGAAAATACTATTTTTGGATAATCTAGTGGATTAACTACATGACTACTAAAGATAAGGTTATTTATAACAAATAAGTCTGACATCAGTGCGAAAACAGTTGTACATTATGAAATACTTAAGTTAAAAATAAATTATTCAAAACACTTCCACCGTGTAATTGATATATATTGACACATTTCTGCTGTTATTCTCTCGACTATGCAGTGCATTTAGATATTTGAAGGATCGAAAAATTTAGTGGTTTGATTTGTTGTATTGTAGTGCAAATGTCGACTAGTCAATGGTTTAAGTACTGGTTGACCTACCCATCCCTCGAAAAGAGTACAGATAGCATCGCAATCTTTTACAACTGACTCTAATCCACGGCTTCCTCATGCATCCTCTCATTTCGTTTCTCTTTCAAAGGCTTCCATTTCCCTTTGTATCTTTTTTCCTCCCTTTGCTTCTGTTACACCTTCCCTGCCGTCTCACTTGAGTTAATGGGTTTAGCTGGCTTTCGTTCCATATAATGAAACCATTTCTCCAGTGCCCCAGTCATCTCTGACTCCAGATGTTTCAGGTTGGATCGAGTCAGAGTACATTGCTCATGTCCTAAACATCTGTGAATACCCCAGCGGGCAAGAATATGAGCGCTTCTCTTATGAATAACAAAGTCATTTGCATGTGGGTGATGGTTGTTTGTTTAGCCAGTAATTTCGTCTGCTAATGGACAGGCTGAAGAGGTATTCCTTAATTGTGTGTTGCTAGGTGACCTGTTTTTGGTAACGACGACTGCTCTGATTTTTTTTTAAAATTATAATTGTTATTATTGTGCCATCTCTTTTAGAAAGCATGCACATACACCATCATTCTTTTTTTACGGTCTAATACATTTCAATGAACTGATCTGAAAAGAGCCTGCTTCCTTGTTCCTTGACCATATATGGTCATTTTAAATGCCCCCAAGACTAATTGTGTCTATATATGGACATGCAGGGACAACCCTGGCAGAAGACCTTCCTTTCTAGTAAGAAGGGATTATGTAGCCATGGCGATGGGGGTCCGGGTCAAGCCATATGAGAGTTTTCCAGGTCAGGTGTGTCCATGTGTTTGTGTATAGTTGTTTGTGTTTTATTGTATCTGAGGTATTATTTGATATTGATTTTGTTGCTTTGGAAGTTCTTTTAGATAGAGAGCTCTTAGCACCGAGCGTTTAGAGTGATCATCCTGTAGTCTGGGATAAGCTGCTCCTGGTCATGGATCAGAAGCATTACGCTGAAAGGAGAGTTCATGGTACGCTTTACTCTAGTGCAGGCTGTTTAGTTGAGCTACTTCATTCTAGGCCACAGTGTTTCTGTATGGTCGCAGGTGACTGTTAGTGCTAAAAAGCTACAGTTGAACTAGATTTGCATTTTCTGAAGGGAATACTAGGTTCTGTGGAATCAAATGCAGCCACTTTGCCCCACTGGCTTGACGATCAGCATGTGATTGTTTTAGTTTTAATGAAAGAGAATCGGTATACTTTCATTTTTTGTGTAAAGGTGGCTATATGATTAAATATATGCAAGGACAAGGCCAATCACAATTCAGTATGCAGATACTGTGGTGATGTCTTCAGTGTTGTTTACTTTTTGAACCTAGCTGACTATAGCTTGATAAATAGATGGCACATTTAAGGCTAAAATGTTCAAAATACCATTTGAATTGACTAATTTTTACTTTTCTGAACACATATCATTGTAATACTATGATATTATTAGGAGTAGCATGTTGCATACCTTGGTAAATGAATGTAGAAATGATTCAGTACCATGGTATTGATCAAATAAGTTGATGTATGATGTATAGATTTGTATATGTAAAATATATGCATTTATGTTTATGCCAGTAGCTAATACGTTGCAGATATATCCATGTCTAATAATTTAATAATTGCAAATGAGGTGCTCAGAAAATGATGAAATTAAAAGAATACTTACTTTACTCAAAATTCAGTTATTTTCAATAATCTCAAAGTGACCAAATATTAGTTTATGAATCGGCCTAACACTCATGGTATTCTCCAGTGCCCCAGTCATCTCTGACTCCAGATGTTTCAGGTTGGATCGAGTCAGAGTACATTGCTCATGTCCTAAACATCTGTGAATACCCCAGCGGGCAAGAATATGAGCGCTTCTCTTATGAATAACAAAGTCATTTGCATGTGGGTGATGGTTGTTTGTTTAGCCAGTAATTTCGTCTGCTAATGGACAGGCTGAAGAGGTATTCCTTAATTGTGTGTTGCTAGGTGACCTGTTTTTGGTAACGACGACTGCTCTGATTTTTTTTTAAAATTATAATTGTTATTATTGTGCCATCTCTTTTAGAAAGCATGCACATACACCATCATTCTTTTTTTACGGTCTAATACATTTCAATGAACTGATCTGAAAAGAGCCTGCTTCCTTGTTCCTTGACCATATATGGTCATTTTAAATGCCCCCAAGACTAATTGTGTCTATATATGGACATGCAGGGACAACCCTGGCAGAAGACCTTCCTTTCTAGTAAGAAGGGATTATGTAGCCATGGCGATGGGGGTCCGGGTCAAGCCATATGAGAGTTTTCCAGGTCAGGTGTGTCCATGTGTTTGTGTATAGTTGTTTGTGTTTTATTGTATCTGAGGTATTATTTGATATTGATTTTGTTGCTTTGGAAGTTCTTTTAGATAGAGAGCTCTTAGCACCGAGCGTTTAGAGTGATCATCCTGTAGTCTGGGATAAGCTGCTCCTGGTCATGGATCAGAAGCATTACGCTGAAAGGAGAGTTCATGGTACGCTTTACTCTAGTGCAGGCTGTTTAGTTGAGCTACTTCATTCTAGGCCACAGTGTTTCTGTATGGTCGCAGGTGACTGTTAGTGCTAAAAAGCTACAGTTGAACTAGATTTGCATTTTCTGAAGGGAATACTAGGTTCTGTGGAATCAAATGCAGCCACTTTGCCCCACTGGCTTGACGATCAGCATGTGATTGTTTTAGTTTTAATGAAAGAGAATCGGTATACTTTCATTTTTTGTGTAAAGGTGGCTATATGATTAAATATATGCAAGGACAAGGCCAATCACAATTCAGTATGCAGATACTGTGGTGATGTCATCAGTGTTGTTTACTTTTTTACAGCTTTTTGAACCTAGCTGACTATAGCTTGATAAATAGATGGCACATTTAAGGCTAAAATGTTCAAAATACCATTTGAATTGACTAATTTTTACTTTTCTGAACACATATCATTGTAATACTATGATATTATTAGGAGTAGCATGTTGCATACC